TGAGCACACTAGCGACCTACTGCGGACGGTTGCGGACGTTTGCGAACGGTTGCGAACGGCTGCGGACGGCTGCGAACATAGAAGCAACGGGTCGCGAACAAGGCTCTACCCCCAGACCCCCAAGAGTTAAACGAGAACCCTTCGCTACGCATTCGGGAAAAAACAACACACTAAAGATGCTCAAATGAACGGCGCTCGCTCCACAACTCAAACCCTCATTGCCCCCTGAACCCGGTGGTTGGCAAGAGATTTGAGTTTCTGTGTTCTTAAGAGGGGAAGTCCAGGGATACCATGCCAAAACAAAATGGAGAACCTCCGGCCTGAACCTGAGGGTGTAAAGTCACAAATGCATTGGGGTGTGTGTGTGTGTGCCAGAAAGTCCTTCGCTTGCTGCAGGCACCTAGCGGGTTTTGGCGCCCAATGGAGGCAGGCGGCTTTCAAGTTGTAGTGCGAATAGTTGACAATCTTCCACAGCATATTATATCATCATTGGTTTGCAAACTCAAGGGGTATGATGCTGCTTGTTGAGAGATTTCAGACGAAAGGTCAGCGTTGGCAACCCTCGCCAGGAAAGCAGCAAGGCACTTAGGCAGATGCCCAACTTGTGACATGACCCCTTAGCATCCCTTGGCTCCATACTTCATACGTAGTCTTGAATATCAAGTGCTGCGCCCTTGAGTGGGGAACTGTGCAACTCAAAAAAGTTTTTTCATTTACTGTATAGATGTTGACTATCACCCCCATTTCCGCGAGTTGTGGAGAAACCACTGAGGGGCATCACTTCGTGGACAAAGCCAACCGCCTACCACGACCACTGAGCCTTTCCAGTGTGCTGGGGAGTCTAAAGGTACGCTAGGGATATTTCATAGTTGAAAATTGTTGATGGCAGCCATGCCCGGACTGCAATTATATGTTTAGTTTGCGTGCGTGTTGCTGCAAGCTTGTTCACTGAGCGTCAACTTTGTGACTATTTGGCTGCAAATGTTGGGGTTGTTTGTGCGCAGGTTGGTCGGACAAGCGCCAGGCACCGGAGAAGGGGTTGAAAGATGGCCGACAATGTCAGACAACAAAAAGAAACAGAACCCCCACAAGAAGCGCAAACATGGTGGCAACTGTGACACTGATTCATGGGCCATCGTGGTAGCAGCAGCAGCAGCAACAGCAGCGACAATGAGTACAGTAGCAATATAGTCTAGTCTAGTGGTCAACAGATCGAACAGATGACACATGCAAGGAGTGGTGCTGCTGGCATTATGGCACTGGTGACCTCCTCAACATGGAGCTTTGATGCATTGACTTGATCAGTAAAATGATGTTTCCTGCTTTTCCTGATAAGGTTTCCTTGGTAACTGTAATTACTCTCAATTATATACATAGTATATCATAGTATTACATAGTTATATAATATTATATGTGTCCACGGCCCAGCGCCAAGGTTGCCCACGATGACAATCAGGCTGAAGAAAGCCTGGAGCTCCAGTAGGGAAGATGCGAACAATCAAGATCTCTAGTTTGACGGCCCAGGCTGGGAGGTTTTTTGCAGTGGTCGTTCAACTGGTATTCCTATGACCGCCTGTGTTTCAGAAGACAGTGCCACCTTGTGCAACTAACCCGTCGGTCTAAATGCGTCAATTCGCGTTCGGGAAAGACCCGAGAGCGGACCAAAGTCATTGGACATTGAGCTGCGATGAAAAACCAAATCCAATGGTGAGTCCAATGAAATTGAAAAATGCTGGCCTTATATGGCCTTATCGGCTAGACACATTGGCCACTTTTGAGCAGCCCAATGGTCAAGCACAGTCTCACTGTTGCTTGCGTAAATCTGCAGGCTAACTCTTCCAATTCAGGTTGGACCATGCCAACGTTGCCGAAGCAAGGAGCACAATAGTGAGCCCCGAGGATCAACACAAAAACAGTGAGATGACAGGCTCATGCCCCTGCTTGCGCGCCAGAGATCACCATAACGCTGCCACAATTCGTGAGGTGGCAAAAAGTGTGGAAGGCTCTTTTGAGAGAAAGGACCGTCAACCTTTTGTTTGAACCACTGAGTTTTCTTCAACGGCTCGCAACCAGTCAATGTGTACTGTCGTGAAGATTGGGACACTGTAGAAGCTGTCAGCACCTGGCCAGTACTCATTCAAAATGGGGCCCTGGTAGTGTGGAATCAAGACCTTTGACCTTCTTGGATTGGAATTGCTATTGCGCCTTCAATGCTTGCTGTTTCTCAAGAGTCAAGAGCAAGCACTGCGCAGAATGCTCTCTCAAAGTTCAGGGAGCCAGGCTGGAGTTTAGAGTTTAGTGCAGGACCTTTATTGACCAGCATGATTGTGACCGTTGTTTCCGATTGCCCGGGAACGGAGATAAGCTGAGCGGTGTCAGCGTAGAGTACAGTAAGTTGTAGGTGTTTGTACCTTCAGCTGCATGTGAGACCATTAAACACACTAAACCAATGTAATGAGCCACGAAGCTGGATCCAACCTTTTCTCGGGTGTGGGGGGCGCCCCCACAGCACTTGAAGATGTGTTTGTAATGGACCCGCGTCCATGATGCTGAAGACTGCAATCTTTGTTTTTGCAGGCGTCATGGTGGATATTTTGCCAGGCACGCACTCATGCTGGATGCACCTCACGACATTTCGGGGCACGTGTACGGCCGCGTTCTGGGTGCTACGATAAATAGCAATACACGGCGGTGTGTTTATCACGAAAGCTAGCATCAGCTAGCTGGAGTTGCTCTTGCTTTAGCAAGTCAAGGGCTCGCAGCCTCGAGAATCATGAATCACGTGAAAACTTCACGTGTAGGGGGGGGCCCCCCCCCCGCGGGTTCAACTCCCCCCTGGGACGCTTCCAGTACGTGCTATAGTGCTATGTTTAGGTGGCAGGTGAAGTAGGCCACTGTTTGAGTTTGGAAGGGGGGGCATGAAACATGAAATTTACGCGAAGGTTCAAGGCTTCAATGATGAGCATCACGGGAAGTCAGAAACCAGGCGTATCAGATACACGTGCCTTTGAGCTTCCTTCGGCATCTCAGTGCATATGGCTGACACTTTACTCGACAAAGATGCTCAAACAAACATACATAAACCAGGTGTATGACTTCCCGTGATGCTCATGATGCTGCGTTGCTTTTCTTCAGTCCCTCATTACATATACATGACGATCCAACAGCAGATTCAACAAGCTCACATGTTCATGACATCGACATCGATAGAAGAAACCAAACAAATCATGCAAGCAGCTTTGTTTTGCCTCTGGGACACCTCTTGGGCACCTCTTATGGCATCCACACTGGTTCAACTCCTCCGTGGAGGTTTTGGGATACGGTGCAACAGATTCAACAAGCTCACAGGTTCGTGAACACATCGGATGCATCGAACAGTGTGGCAAAGTCCAGCCACGCTTCCTTAATTATCGGGGACTTCAATTCTAAGGTTGGCTGTGTCATTGCTGTTTGTGTGTCTTACATGTTCACAACGTTTTACCTCATGAGCATTTGCCTCACTCCGCTTGATGTCCCACCAGTCCGGATGCACCCCTGCTAGCTTTCGTCACCTACCCTCGGCCTCAAGTATACATATGTATATATATATATATTAATTCTTTGTGGTGTGTGCATGTGCTTTACCCTCCTCCTGCAGATGCAACTTCTAGACCATAGCAGTTGGGCACGAGGCTTCGTTTTATCATTTCGTCACCTGACAAGCCTGCTGTTTTGCGCAACTTCAATACATTGATGGGTCAACGTTTGGGGAATGCTGCACATGCTCACGATTCCTCACCTTTAACGCCTTTGAGCCCGATGCTTGACAAGTTGCAGGTGAGGAGCCCGTGAGAGCGAGCCTGAAACCGCTATCTCCTCACAGGCTTGGAGTGATTCCAGCAAGCACCTTGGAACAATGGAAGAACAGCGCCAGAACCAACCAAAACCCAGATCAACTTGCAAAAAGAACTCCGAATTCCAGGTGTCATCAAACAGAGTAGACCGCGGGTTTATATAAGTTTTGTCATGTGACGCAGAGGAGCCGTTATTTTTGATACTTGCCGCTGAAGTTGCTACGGCTTGTCGCAGCGCAAACAGTGCCAAATCATGTAGGATCAGAAGAACCGCTGCTGCCCAGGCCTAAGAATGTCCTGCCATTCTTGTGCACATTGGATGCCATACCAGAAGGCATCCTTTGGTCAACTAACTCCTTGCCGTAAGGCGATGAGGATTTCACGGTGTTTTGTTAATGTTTTGTTCATATAATAAGGTCGGGGCTTCCTGCGGCCGGCTGCCATGGGCGACCACACGGCTAGCAAGTGTTTTGCCAACTCTGGTAGGGAAGCACAGGGGCAGGTCAACTTTTGTTGTGACTAAGTCTAAGTCACTGGGCCTCATTGCCATCAAGAAATTATGAGGCACACGTTCGTTCATGCTATTGATTCTTGACCAAGAAAGAGTCCAGCTAAGGCATCTGAGGTACCGCTACCCAATCGTCTTCTCCAAGGCTGGACAAGTGATTTGCAGCGCCCGGGTGCCTGGTTGAGATAAATGCGAGCGTTGGCAAGGTTGCACAGGGTCTCAGGGAGTGAGGGCTATTCAAGGGAGAATTGTTTTGATGGGCTTTGGGCCAGAGAGGTTTTCTTCCCAGATGGATGTAAGCTGTAGGCGTCAACCATCATCAACCTAACTTTGACTGGCATCTTTAGTGTCCAGTCTCTGTGTGTGAATCCATTCAACGATCCCGTCTCAACTAATTACCAGTGAACCCCTTGCACTCACTGGATTGTATGGCCCAGCAAGCATCCAACTTCGCAACGTGAGGCGACCAGCAGCAGTGCGAGCAACCAGTGGATGGGGCCTTGAACGGCCTTGATATCGAACTCGGCTTTGTCGCTTTCACTCAAGTTCCCCTTCCTGACTGCAGTCATGTGCCAGGTGAGTTCCGTCCGCGAGATTCGATTTGTCCGCAAGATTTTGATCAAGACTTTGTTCTCCTCACAGCCGTGCGTTACCCCGCTATGCCGCCGCCACCAGGAGCCAAGAAGATGCCTAGCTTCCAGTTGGTCCAAGCCTTTGAGGTTTACTGGGCTACCCGAAAGGTGTGGCTGAAGGCTCCCCATAGGTCAGCTCGTATCGTTGACTTCTCTTGCATGTTCATGTCGCCACATTTCTGGCACCCGACATCCTTATACATATTACATCATATTACAAAATACAATGTTTGGTCCGATGATGAGTCCACACAGGGACGTTCAAGGCTGCCCCCAACTAAGGAGAGTTCTTCTCATTGGCGGCCAATTCACTGGCAATTTCTGTGCGCGTGAGCTGAAGAAGCAGTTCTACGTTACGGTTGTGGACTGCAAGGAGTACTTTGAATACACTCCCGGGGTCACTTTGGCTGCCTGGTGCTGTCGAGTTGCACACGGCTCGAAGTTTGTGTCGCACGTTTGTTGTGGTTGATTTAGGCTTGAAGCGAGTGACAGTGACAGTCTTTGTTCATCTCGCTGAATTTCAGCAGAGTTGGTTCGGCCCAAGTTCTATACGTGGCTGTTTATGTTTGCATGCTAATGCTCAGGTGCTGCGAGCCTTTGTCCGGCCAGCACATTTGGACTCCCTGACTTTTACTTTGCAACTGGGTCCAATTTATGACTCGATGGACGGATAGAATTTGTGGATTTGACTCTCCCGAGGCAGCCAGTCTACGAACGCAAGATGGGCGTGAAGTTCATTTGGGGAGAGGTGAAGGAGCTGAACGGCGCAAGGAAGACTGCAAGTACCCTTGCGGAAAGTAGATGCCTGGGGCCTGCGGGGATGTGTTCGTTGGGTTGGACCGAGCCACGCGGGTGAAACCGGAAGTGAGGGAACGCAAAGCTAATCGGCTACTTCTTCATGCTTCTATGTTACCACTTCAACAAAGCCATTGCTTCGATGGATTCGTTGTTGTCGTTCTTTGATACCCACATTCATGTGCTCGCCCATTTTCTTCTCATGATTGGTGTCAGCACAGGTGTCAAGACGATGTTCTCGAACAACATCGATGAGAGCCTTGCACCACAATCTAGATGAATGGCGCTTCTTCCCTTTTGCAATGCGTTCTGGCAGTTTGCTTTTGGTGCAGATGTCAACGCATTGTGGCCAAGCGAAGAGCGAAGACTGTCGCTTTCCCACTGGGCCAGAGGTTGGTGGTCATATTCATGCTGAACGGGTTGTTGCATGATTATATATTTACAGCCTTCGGCATGCCGCCGGCCACCAGCTCGAGCCCGCATTGGCAGGCAGCTTAATGATACAATACCCTGCTCAATCATACTTGTTGGTGCATTGGAGGTGCACATTTGGCTGGGTGAGTTTGTTGATGTTTATTTCAAGGTTGTTTCACCATGAAATGGAACAAATCCGAATCAGAGGTTGTCTATTCTGATCCAGCGATCCGAACCGGCATGTCTCAGTCGAATCACCTAAGAGGAACCAAGTGAAACCAACACAAGCAATGCGAACCAAGACTATCCACAAAACATGACCTTGAAAACGATTCTTCTTCCAAACTACTTGGCCGTGTGCATGTTTTCCTTTTCAGATCTTTTTTCGACCATCTCGAGGGATTGCGACACGCACCAGATATTCTTTTTCACACACAGAAGGCTTCAAAGCGACCGAAGAATTTCTAGATCTGGCATGATTTGTCGTTTTTTTCTCCAAACCGTTTGAAATGAAAGACCCAGAATGACATCGAACAACAATACCCTGCTCAATCAGACTTGTGGGTGCATTGGAGTTGCACATTTTGCTGGGAGAGTTTGTTGCTGTGGATTTCAAGCGAAGTCGTTTTACAATGAAATGGAACGAATCCGAATCAGAGGTTGTCTATTCTGATCCAGCGATCGACATGTCTCAGTCCAATGGTTGTCTATTCTGATCCAGCGACCTACTACCTACTACCTACTACGTACCACCTACTACCTACTACCTACTACTGCTACTAATCCACAAAACACGCCGGCAGGCCGGCGGATTCTCTTGGCATAGGCCCCGTTAATAAACTTTATGAGCCACACATGGTGCCAAAACAAAAACAATGTGTCGAAAGGATTGGCTTTGACTATTGCATCATTTGCTCTGGCTGCAACTTCGGGCCTTTCAAGCGTCTAATCCGCATGTGTGGTGAAGACTGAAGACACATGAACTATTATATACACATGTAATCACATGATGCATGTCTTGTTTTTGTTGGAGAGTTAAGTTGTACACCAGCTTTCTCCAAAGACAGTTGAGTTTGTAAGACCTATTGCCTCGTCAAATTTCGAAGCAGGGGCGCTTCCCTCACCAGGGTAGCTGTGAAGCCAAATTAAGGCCAATGGGCGAGTCCTTGTGGTTTCCAACCGCCTCTCGGTTGTGCTGATCTATATGTGTTTTTTTACTTATGTCATCTTGTTGTTTCTACATCCCACATGGCGGCTGAGATGTGTTTAAACATTTAACCGGTGCTCCTGGACAAGGGATGGTTTCTGTTGTTTATCAGGCTCCATGCTACAAAGCCATTCAGTCTTGAGGTTCATGAGGAGGCCCGAGGCCATTCAGATTGGAAGCACATCGACGAGCGATACTTGGAGGGAAGGCGTCGCCATGTCCTGGAAGAGTACCATAAACTCACAGATCTCAACAAGCCCCTTGGTCAGCAGCGGCTCTTTGAATTTGCCTTTAATGACGTTTGCGTACGGACTTGGTGCTGTGTTTGAAGCTTTGGAGGGAATGACATTAAGTTTGAGGTCAAAGGCCTTAACAACAATGCATACAAGGGTAGTAATTAGACGGTGTGGAGGATAGGCTGGCGAACCTGGAAGTCCTTGACAGCAGCAAAAGCTAAATCGATCTAAATCGCCACAATCATTGGTTATCAGGCCGTGGCCCGTTGCGCTTTCCGCTTGCTGACGTTGACCCAGCCGCCAAAAAGTAACATCACACAAGTATATAGGTCCTGGTATATAATACAATTACAATCAATTACATTTTAACATATTTTAACCAATCCCACTGCCCAAAAAATTCTAAAGGACCCTAGCGATTGGCTGCAATCCGGACATGTGGCCATTTTTGCCCCGAGGAAACAGGCCACTGTTTTGATTGTGGGCGCTGGTTTCATTGGTGTCGAGTGGGCCACTGAGCTGGATCTTTGGCAAGAAAATATGCCGACCTTTCGTAGAGGACGCGGGGATCCATGTTGCCTCATGCGTCCAAGCATTGCACGCCTTGTACAAATCGGATGGCCTTGCACTTGGTGTTCACATCAAACCAGCCACGCACTACTGAGGAGCATTTCTTCCCTCAGCTGAAGATCACGATCATCGACTTCCTTCCTCGATGCCTGGGACCTTTGCCTGATGGTGCTGCTGACTACTGTTCAGAGCTCCTCAATTGGCAATGAGCTTTTTCGGAGATGGTGTAGCTACAACACATGTAACATGTCGGGGTTTAATGGTTCCCAGTGCTTCCCAGTATGCGCAGCCTGCTAAACGTGCAGCTTACGTGCGCTTACAGTAGTGCATTTGCAGATGTCACAGCTGCAATTCTCATCTAAGGCATCCACGCCGTCGTGAAACCGTAAGTTTGGTGATGATTAACCCAGACAATGCAAGACAGCTGAGTTAATGTTGAGAAGGGCAGACATTCTCATGGGGAAACTACTTGTGACAACTAGTCCGGTACCTCAAGCACCTTTAAGTGTGTTGCCTCTCCACTGTCCAGTTACATGGCAGCCTGCGGCATCAAGGACAGATGGGCGTGCAAAACAGTCGGATGCAGAGTTTGGGTAGGGCGAGGTTGCGTAATTATGTTGGGCCGTGCTGTGGATGAAAGTTATGTTCGGCTTCCAGCCCCTAGCCCAGTTTCTAGGTGCAGGAGCATGACTCTTGGTCTTATCTAAGATGTGCGGGAGGAGTTCTACAATTGCAAGTATGACCCGAAGAATCCAGAGTTCTGGAAGCAAATCGAACTTCCCAATGGTGCTGATGAAATCTACGTGTGCATCGGCGTGAAGGCATCCAACTATTTCATGCCAGCAGAGACGCTCTCTGATAAAGGCCCTGGCGGAGGCGGCTGGATTCATTTCAACAAGCACCTGCAGGCAGGCATGCCGGCGGGTCATTTTTTCTTGTGATCGCTGAAGACAGTCCTTGGCCGCCATGCATCTAAACCGCAGACCGAGCCGCGCCACCAGGGCGGTGGTCCCCACCGACCTGTAAAGCTGTAGGATATTCCTGCGGCAGACTGGCCATCCCTAACCCACGTTGACACTCTCCCCAGCAAACTCCGAAGCTAAACAAACGGCCTCGGCGTGCCTTGGAGAGAGAGAGAGAGAGAGATGAAGTTCAATCCACATTCCCTTCGAGCTTTCTGGTTGCTGAAAGCTCACCGTGTAATTACAATCCGCGTGGAGCTTGTGATTTGTAAGGGCTTTGATTGTGGTCGTGAATACTAGCCGGCTACGGAAGAATCAGTTCAGACTTTGTACCACTTTAAGTTCTTTGTGCCGGGAAAGGTCACCATCACCCTTTGCTGCCTTGAAACCTCGAGTCTCTCCTAAAAAAACGACAGTGGCACTGGGGCTCCGAGTTGTTCCTGATACTACCTGGTGCTAAGCAAGCTATCTCGAGCCCTGGCGGGTCATCCAGAAAAATTGTTTGCTTTCAGGCATTTGATTTGACCTGGGCGGTGCGGCATGTGTCGCTTTCGATGGCCGCGCTGCCCCAGCTTTCCGCAATCCATAGGTATCACAGGATAGGCAAATATGATCAAGTATGTGTAACCCATATTTTGGCATGCAGAGTCCAAGTACAGTAGCATCACGCTCAAGCACCAACCGGGAAGTAGAAGCGCTTGAAGCAAGCCGTACCTGCTGGACAGCCAAGTGTAGGCATCCCTTGACCACCCAAGTAATTATATACCAAAAAATATATATACCCGGCGATTTGTGTTTTATAGAATGCCGAGCCTTTACATCTAAAAAGGCAATTCTTTTTGTGAGGGAACCGTGGATGATGAATAAGGCAAAAGCCTGCGCATTGCATTTTCCAGAGTGGTCATGTTCAATAGGTCATTAGACGTTTAGCATGCCATTTTGCAGAGAAGCTGATGTGGAGTGGAGTGGCTTGAACATGTTGGTGGTGACGCTGGTTTTTGAAAGAGCAAAACATACAAAACTGGACGACGGACCACGGATGGCCCTGGACCGTGGAAGGCAATGTTATGTAGAAGTAAGAGATGTGTATGTGTATAAATCTGAGAGTTTTGTAGCTGCAGTTGCATGTATGCTACAAGATGCTACAAGTATACGTGCAGACGCACGTTTCTAGAGCTGATGTAGTAAGATGATATCTTGTGGACGCCGCCAATCATCTCGCTCCCCAGCGGCACCGAATTTACACCAGTGTGCTTTCCTTCCCCCAATGGCACAGACACGCAAACGCACTTCCCTCGATGGCCGTACAAAACCGCATGGCACAGCGACATCACAGACGGAATTTGGCCACAGTAGGCAAACAGATCAGATACAACAACGTAACATTAAGCGCCGCCAGCCATCCCGCTCCCCAGTGGCATGCCGAATCTACACTAGCATGTTTTCCTTCCAGCGGCACCGAACTTTGGCAACCATTTCGGTGACAGTTGCACACTTAGTTGCCGCCTCCACCTTCGTTTTCGGCGACAGCTAAACACTTTGGTAACCTTCACCGGTTTTCCACGACTGCCACATATTTTTGCAACCTCAACTTCCGGCTTGGTGACAGTTACACTGCACTTTGGCAACCTCCATAGATACACGCTTTGGCAACCTCCACCTCCGTTTTCAACAAAAGTTACACACTTTGGTAGCTTCTACCTTCGTTTTCGACGAGGTCACACACTGGCAACCTCCACCGTCGTTTTCGGCGACAGTTGCACACTTTGGCAATTGCCAGCGTCAATCACTTCGGCAACCAAGTTACCACACAATTGAGCCCTCCGCAGAGGGCTCCCTCCGCCCAAGCCAGAATTCGCATTTCGCCACAAGTTTGAGCTCTCGACGCGCACAATCTCCGCAGAGCGTCGCGTTTCGCAAGCCCTGGCTGGCCAGGCCCCGGCTAAGAAAGAAGAGATAAACAGCCGAGATGTATCACGCACGCGCGAAATCGCGCGAACAAACAGATGTTACACTCTATGTTATAAGTTATAACCCTTACTTTTGCATACGTCACATGTGTTTACTGAGGCAAGACCGCAGCAAGACCCAGCGGTTTGATGTTGCGTATGATTTTACTTGAGCAAGACCCCGGCGAAAGTTATACTTGACTTTGCATATCTTTGCATATGACTTTACTCAAGCAACATCCTGGCGAAAGCTATCCAAGCAAGATCCCAGCACCAAAGCGATGCCAAAGCAAGATCACAGCACCAACGCTAGCGCAGCAGCTGCTCTACACAACCGTACCTGCAAGCTGCAGGTGTACTTCTAGCGTACCTATTGTAGCATACATACAACTGCAGCTGTATATGCTGCACCTCCGTAGCACCAGGTTTAAAAGACCACGCTCGCAAACTGCAGGTGTACTAACAGCATACATACCAATGCGGCTGCATAAGTCCCAAGTGTCTGGCGAAAGCCACGCACGCAAGCTGCAGATGTAGCTTGTAGCATACTCACCAACGCAGCTATATAAGAAGAAACAGCCAGAAAGACATTGACGCAGATGTGTTTTCCAACAAATTTATACAGAAGAACTCTTCGCAACGCCCCCGGGCAAAATGCATTATAATCGCATAGACCCCGAAGAGCTTATATACTTAGTCGGGAAGAATTGTTGTTGTTCTGGTGGGCGGCCACAGCCCCCGCCCCTGCCTGGCAAAGGTGGGACAGCAGCAGGGCAACAGAAGACCAAAGAAGAACTGACTTCCGTCAGGCCCAAACACCCATTGCTCCATCTCTCACGTGCACCTCCGCTAAGTGTCACTGATAGTTCGCACAACCTCTATCTATGTTCCTCCTTTGGGGCGGCCTGTGCCAAAAAAGCAGCTATGGTTCACAGCATATGCCAGAATCCTGGTGCAAAAGCTACATGAACACTTCCCCTGCGCAATGCCGCCAGGCTGTTGCAACTTCTCTTCCAATTTTTTGTTTCCAACGGATTCCAAGCTCAAACTGCCCTTTCATTTTTTCGTGTTCATATCTTTTCTTCTTTCATGGCGTGGGGTTGATGCCTGCATTTTGTGCAGGGCGCGTATCTTCCCTGTTCTCTACTGAGCCTTGAACATTCATCGTTTGTCCGCGCTGCTTCTCCCCAACCGTTGATGAGGAGTGTAGCATCCAGAAATGTTCCATTCGTCCTCCTGCGCTCCTCGCACTTCCTCACACCAAACCGAGCGCCTTGATGGCGCGGTAGCTGCACTAGGCGGTGGTGTCGGGCGGGTCGTCAAGACCACATGTTCATCAATCACCCTTCTTTGTGGCACAGGGGAGGGTTCTTGAGGAAAGTTTCCCTTTCCTTCACTCTTTTCCTTTTCCTTTATGACTTGAGTTTTGGCCTCTTTGGCCTGTACTTCCATTCCCTTGGTTCGGCGTGCTCACCTCTGGTGTGGTGACTTGTGGTGCTGCCGAGGCCTGTGGTGCCAATGATGTCGCACCGCTGGCCCCTTCTTCTTCTTCTTCTGCTTCTTCTTCTTCTTCTTCTCCACCCCTTCTCTCATCCTTCTTCTATATTCTACTTCTCTGGTCAAGATGGCAGCGACGATGACGATGGCCAAAGGTCAAGGGGAAGGGCATCAAAAGGAAGATGCACCCCCGGCATGTTGATCCTATGGGTTTGCGTGAAGGAGCAGAAGACCAGTGACTGGGAGCGCCAGAATGAAGCTCACCTTTCTCTCCTTGGGGTCAACCGGAAGGATGGGCCCAGTCTCCAAACTGGAATAAGGCTCATCCTCAAAAATGGCGAGTCCTCAAGTTTCCACCTTTAGGCGTGAGGATCGCCAAAGCAGATGGGGCCCACGATCTCATCCAGGACCACCGTAATGGATTCTCATACGATTCCTGAGTCGTCGCAGCCAGTATCAGGATGTGTATATCAGGGTTGTGCTGCTTGATGATCTCCATCCCCAGAAAGTTCGTTAGTTTTTCCGCGATATATTCAGTGTTGTCTCTTCATCTTCCTCCTTGATGACGCGCCAAAGGTTTGGCTCAGAATCCAGCGCCTTCAGCTCCCTTGGCAGCTACTTGTGGTCAGCTCGCACAAACCTGTCTGAGGAAACAAGAAAGTCCGTTCAAGTTCAGGATGTGACGGTGCTTCTCTGCATCAAAGTTCCCATGCATCAGAGACGTGAACTCAATTAGAGTTCTCAAGTCCAAAGTACTTCAAGGGAAAAGGGGCATCGTAGGACATCCCCTTCAAAAAATCCCTATACAAGCCCTTCCACATGATCCCTCCAGTGGGGATCGCTGTTCGGCCGCTCACCTTCGTGAGATGCCGAAACAGGGGTAGGGGGCTAAGCCAAAAAGCACCCGCCAAGCGAGGAGCAAGAACGAGAACAGGCACGAGCAAAAACACGTGGCGCCAGGGGAAGTAAAGAACAAACTACCGGGGGAAGCATGAGAGGGTTGCCATCCCACCAACAAGCACTGCACAGGAAAGAGGAAAAAAAGGAGGCGGCGGCGGCACAGCAAGGGCAGCAAATGAGAGTGCCCGAGGACACCGCCAAGCGCCAGTGCATCTCGGTAGTGGGGCTTCAAGACTGCAGGACCACAGCCGCCGCGGAGGCAGCATGGGAAGGGGCGTCCGCCAAAGCAGCGTCAGCACGGCGCTGCAAGGCAGCCCTTCCTCGGAAGCTGCGGATCAACACCGAAGTTTTTTGCAGCATCTCAGAAAACAATGCCGCAGGCTCGACTTGTTCGCGGGCGGCAACCGCGCGGGCAATGGTCTGCAAAACCTTTGCCGCTGAAGGGTCCCAAGCACCTGTCGTCTCAGCCAGCAGGGGGACAAAAGCAAGGCCTTGCTGCTGGCAGCACAAAGCGGTGTCCAAGTGAGCTATTTTCACAGCTGAGTAGGCTGCAGCTGCAGCTCCTCCTTGCCACCCTGCGTCTGCTAAGCTAGCCTGCCG